AACCCAAACCATCCTGTGATTCTATGATATGCCATTTCCACTTCCTTGGTCCATAAGTAGCTATCTGAAGAATCTAAATTTCAACCCTGGGGCTGAGAATCGAGGGTGATGTGAAAACATGACTGATGTGTCTCACGTGGCCAAGGGCTGTGGCACACGGCTGATGCAGCGTGGGATGCAAGCTCTGACTGACTTCCTGCAGGATTTAGTCATGGTAGTTTAGAGTGGTACCTGTGGACCAAGCCTAGACCTTCCTTCTGCTAAAGCTTACAAGAATCAAGTACAGAAGATTTAGAGATAGCAGTTTGAATGTTGACATGTAATTTAGATTTAACTAATGATGTTTAAGTCCCTGCAGCCCACGGAGGCCTCACCTTGATGTGAATTAGACTGTGTTAGAGTTGGGAGATAGAGTAATGAGAAAAACATCAAAGGCAAGAGATGAGTTTGGGTGTCTGCAGAGAGGATTAGGAAAACAAGGTTGGCTAAAGGGAGCCAAGTGAGTGTCTGTGCTTGGCTTGGGTAGAAAGGGATGGCTTCTGTTGGTGAAAGGCTACTGAAGATGATCTCTGCTCTGAGAAGGGGTTCCTTGGCTCAGCTTTGACCCACGCAGGGATTCCCATCTACAGGTGCTGTGGTCGCCCTGTAGAGAGCCTACCTCAGCTTGGGGTTGGGAGGGAGTCCTTTCCTGCTGGGCAGGTTATCTGCTGCTGATTTAGTGATTTAGAAGATAAAGCTGCTTCCTTTTTGTTTTGTTTTGTTTTTATCCATCAGCTTGCTATGACTGTACTGTATCTTCCACTCCATACTTGATATCATCTTAAGTACACAATAGGATGAGCAAAAACATCCTTTGTGAAACCTCTGGGCTTGATAATGGAAAACAGAGGCCAGTCTCCTCCAGTCCTCGGCTGCTTTTGTTCTCTTGCATTTCCCTAACAGGAGGAATTCTCTTAAGATGTCCCTGTTGGTTAGGAGCCTCTGGCCCCCATGCAAGGTGACCAGGAGAGGTCACTCAGACCAAAGCAGAGACCTGTTCCTAGTTCTGCAGGTGGCTTTTGTGAGCAGGAGTGAAGGAAGGAAGGGACCTTCACAGCCTGTCCACTTCCACCCAGCTCTCTCCACTTGCAGACAAACATTGAACTATCACCAGCTTACCTAGAAGTGCTCTCAGAAGCAGTCAGCTCAGCTCATGGGTGACTCTTCAACTGATTTAATTCTGTTTAAAACAGGCAGCCTCCAGTTTTTGCTTTTCCTTGTAAACCTGGCTCATGTTTTAAACCAACTGACAAAGGTCTGCAGGGGTTCTGTGTTTGTTGGGCTTTGAGTGTGGTTAAAACATGCCTCTCTTGACTCTTGAGCAGTTTGCAGGTAGTGAAAGGGCTGTGATTACTGTAAAACTTGCATCTCCCTGGTTAGAGTTGTGTTTCACAGTTTAGCTTGGGAAGATGGGAGAAGTTGAACCAGAACTTTACCCTCATATCTTTGGGTTTGTTTTTCCCTCTCTCAGATACGTGGTCAGAGAAGAAATGGGGCCCCAACGTTACAGAATTCCAGCAGAGATTTGATGAAGTCATCACCAGAGGGGAAGGTCCCAGAAGACTCAAGAACCTGTATTTTCTCTACCTGATAGAGCTACGGGCCCTCTCCAAAGTGCTGCCGTTCTTTGAGCGCCCAGGTTTCCAGCTCTACACGGGGAATAATCATCACGATGAGGAAATGAAAACCCAGTTGCTGGAAATTCTCCATCTGGCCAAGTAATTATGTTTGGTACCTGGGGAGAATGGCTCTTTCAACCCTGGCATCTCTGAGCGTGCTTAACCTTTCGCTTAAAGCTCCTAGAAAGGCAGGTTCTGAGTTCTTTCTTGTAGTGGGATAGTGTGATTTGTACAGGAGGGTGATATTACTGGGAGTATGTTGGTATCACAGACTGGTTTGGGTTGGAAGGGACCTTAAAGCTCATCCAGTTCCAACCCCCCTGCCAGCAGCAGGGACACCTTCCACTAGACCAGGTTGCTCAAAGCCTCATCCAGCCTGGCCTTCAACACTTCCAGGGAGGGGGCATCTACAACTTCCTTGGACAACCTGTTCCAGTGTCTGACCACCCTCACAGTGAAGAACTTCTTCCTAATATCTAATCTGAACCTCCCCTCTTTCAGCTTAAACCCATTTCCCCTTGTTCTGTCACTCCCTGCCCTTGGCCAAAGTCCCTCCCCAGCCTTCCTGGAGCCCCTTCAGGTACTGGGAGGCCACTATAAGATCTCCCCAGAGCCTTCTCTTCTCCAGGCTGAACAGCCCAAACTCCATCAGCCTGTCCTCACAGCAGAGCTGCTCCAGCCCTCGCATCATCCTCGTGGCCTCCTCTGGACTTGTTCCAGCTGCTCCAGGTCTCTCTTGTGATGGGGGCTCCAGAACTGGACACAATACAGATACTGGATGTATCTGTATTCAAACTGCAAACCAGAGTAATTAGGCCCAGGGTTTAATAGTCTAGGTTGACTTTTTGAGTTAGCAGAATTAAATTTAGTAACTGCCTATGTGTCAGCCCTGAAACTGGCTACCTGTTTGACTCACCTCTGGAATACCAGCCCTGGTTTTGTTGTTTTTAACTAGAAAAAAAAATCCTAAACATGTTGGTAACAGAGGTTTAGGCTTTTGGACAGAGTTTGGAATAAGAGGAATGGAAGGTACTGGAACCAGATGGAAATGAGTGTCTTCTAATGTTATCAGTGTTTGGATTTATCTTGTCACAGTCCTGTGCTTTTGGTGTTTGTGTCTGTTAGAAAAAGAACTACAATTGCTTAGAAACCATAGAGCAGTTGCTGAAAATGTCTCCAAGGCGAGATGCAAGCTAGAATGGAAAGTCTCCAAGGGATTTTTGAAACAAACAGCTTGACTTAAAATACATCTAGAGATGTCCAGTTTCTAACACCTCTCACTTTCGTTCGCACACTTAACCAGATGTTTCTGGGGATCTGGATTTCAGCCACACAAACAAGCTGTGCAGAACTAAAACTCTTTTTCATTCTGTTTCAGGTCTTTCCCGCTGCATTTTGATGAAAACTCATTCTTTGCAGGGAATAAAAAGGAAGCAGCTAAACTAAAGGTAATTGTCCAACCCTTCCTACCTAAAGGGTATTTCCAGGTGTGTGTCTGGGGTAACATTAGATCTGAAAGGGGCTCCAGTATGTGCAAGGTACTGGGTCAGGAATTGCCAATTCATTTTGCTTGGAGTGGTTTGGATTGTTGTGGGTAACCACGGGCTGCCTGAAGGAGAGGGGTGAATTGCTGCTGGGGACCCCACTTCAGGACACATTTCCCTAATTCACTCACACTGAATTTAGCCTGAAGTCCAGAATTAATACATTATTGGATTTGGATTAATACATGGAAGAAGTGATAATTAGTGCATAACCACGATCAACTTGAATGTCTCTTTCCCCAGGAGGAATTTAGGCTTCACTTTAAGAATATTTCCAAGATAATGGATTGTGTTGGCTGCTTCAAATGTCGCCTGTGGGGGAAGTTACAGGTAAGCTTTGTCAGCAGCTGGGGATGTGTCTGGAAGCACCTCATCTGATGGACTCTGGTGAGCAGATGTGGTTCTTAGATACTGGTCAGCTCCTAGATAGAGATCAGGGCTGCTGGAGTCGTTTCCTACCCCAGTC